GAACGCACATGTTCAAACAATTGGTGCCCATTTTGTCTCCCAAACACGGGCATTGATACATGGTAGAACTGTTTTTGGCTAGGCAAGCCCGCAAACACCCAGTAAACTGCCCATCCAACTTCCCTGAACAGTTAAGAGAATGGCGTTCGGGAAGCATAAACTACTGAACAGGGGGAGCATTTATACCCTAACAGCCAGGGGGAGCATTTGTCAGTGTTCGTGCAAGAACCCCCTGAAAGATGACCGGGCGTTGCCTTGTTTTCTCTGGAACTGTTTTGGGGCATCACCTTGTGTGGTGACATTTTGTCATCAAACTAATATGGTGACTAGGTGTCATGTGACCAAGCTCATGTATGCCTTTCTTACAGGGGGATAAGCTTTACCCTTTGATATGATAATTAGGTAATTCAATACCTTTACAAGTCAGGAAAGAGATAACCACTTCCCCTATTGCCATTCCTCCCTGTTCCTTCTTGGCTGTGCTACTGAGCAGACATGTATCATGGTGAACTGTGTGTGGGATCTGATGACTTTATAAAATGTTATTGTTATAGTTAGTTAGTTAGTTAGTTAGTTAATTAGTTAGATTGTTGTTGGTATAGTTAGTTAGATTGTGTGTCATTATTTGTATGTTGTGGTTTTGTCTCTGAATAAATATTTTTTAAAGTAGACGGACCAGAGTTTATATGTGTATGCGTACATAATTTATAGAGTTTGGTAATATACCACACCTCATGGCCAACTGGTCAAAACTTCATTCGAATGGCATTCCTAAACCAACAATTGGATATTTCGGCAAAGTGTGTGCTCAGATCCAAGCTATTCAATAATGTAACTTTCGTGGGGTTCTGAAGTATTAAAATGTATTTTTGGGGTGTAGATTTTCTGTACCTAAGAGATAATTGAGTTATAGCTTTTTCTCACACAATTATCTTTCAGACACAGAGGATTTTGGGATGAAAAGCCCTGCTTTATTTGTATAAGACCCCATGTAGGGGTCTGTGCATAAAAGCCGTGTGTGGCCAAAATAAAATCAGTTGACTCCCAGAACTATGTGTTTAGTTACTGGGGGGAAAGGGTCTTGCAGTGTAAAACATTATTGAATAGCTTGGATCTGAGCACACACTTTGCCGAAAATATCCCTTTGTTGGTTTAGGAATGCCATTCGAATGAAGTTTTGACCAGTTGGCCATGAGGTGTGGTATATTACCAAATTATTATATCGTGAAAAGGGTCTTGCAGTGTAAAACTGCTTCTTTCAGCTACAAGGAAAGAATAGCGGAGATACCTATGCTGGGTATTGGAGCTCCGCTACAAATGTCTTTCCTTAATTTGTATTTTGTATACATTTTTGGTCTTTATGCAGCACCCCAATTCCTTTTTTTATGTGTATATTTGAAATCCGGTTCAGATTAATTTTTAGTTGAGCACCCTGTCCCTTCACTAGCAGTTTCCCTTTGGAGGTTAGATGCATAACGTCCAATTATAACTCTAATTTGTACACGGGTAAATGTGGTGCTGACAAATTTTGCTCTCAAAAACAGCCAAAGCTCCAACCAATGAAGGCACACCAAATTAACCTGCTACCTTCATAAATATTTGAGAATAGGTATATACACTCTTAACATTGCTTATATTTTATTACATATCAAAACCTTACTAAAGAATTGGTCATGGTTACAGTATCTCTGTTGGGGAGAGCTTTAATTAAGAGTATAATTTTCCCCAAATGTATATACCCCTTACAAATTTTGCCAGTTATAATATCCTAAAAAGATATTAACTTCTTTTTTAGATATCCCTAATTTCATCTTTCTTATGGCTACAAAGAAATGCAGAATGTCTTTAGGATTCAAAAGACTGATAAACATTGATATAGTATAGTAGTTTTAAAAACCTTAATTTTAGAAATATATGTTTTTACTGTATTTACTAATTGTGGGCATTATGCTCAAATGCAGGCATTTCGTTTTACATTATTTAGCAATTTTTAGTAAACTGCACTACTAGTAATGCATTCATTCAGAGCTCTTACAAATACCTGTAGGCAAGGTTTTTGACCATTTTTATTGATATATTTTGTCACACCTATTCTATGGGAGAAACATACTATTTTTTATTTTTTATATCGGCAAAATATTGCTAAAGGACACTGTATACTGTCAAATTATTTTTTTAGAAAGAATGAATGAATAAATAAATAATAATAATTGTGAAAATGTACATATTTTAAATTCTTAAGTGTCTGCAAAACACGCTATATACAAAATGGTTGTGTTATAATGTGTGTACATGCTGGCTACGCACCCCTTGCTTCAAATAAATTATATGATAAAAAAAATGTAATTAAAAAAGTGCTTGGTAGTTAAGGGGTTGAGTCAGTACTTTTTAAACACTGTATCACAATACGTTAGTGTGTCTATTGAAGTGAGGCTTACAAGGCATTTGCCTTGGGCGGCACTTTCAGGGGGGCAGCAAAAAAAGCAGCCCCCTAAACACCTTGGCAAATGCCCTCTTGTCCTCGGGGGCCCAAGAGCCGGCCTGTCTGGCCACCTAGGGGCCCCCTGGGCCTGCCATATACTGATGTAGGAGGTGAGCGACAAGGGAGAACTCTTCCCTGAGCTCATCCTGCTCAGCTCCCTTGCGCACCACGCAGTGATGTTGAAGCCAGGATATGACATCACTCCAGCCCTGGCATCACTAAGAGGGAGCTGAGCAGGAAGATTACGAATCCCTTGCTGCCTCCTCTATATGCCTCCACTATATGCCTGCCTGCTCTACCGCCATCCCGCCTTTGCATGCCCTGCCAGCCGAGTTGCAGCCTGCCCCACTGTACCCCAAGGAAGAATCAACTCCAGCACGCCCAAAAGTAGGGAGGCTGGATTAATTGAACATTAAAAAAATTGAATGGGTTAGTGTGTGTGTCTGTTAGTGAGTGTGTTAGTGTGTGTCTGTTAGTAAGAGTTTGTGTGTGTCTGTTATTGAGTGTGTATGTGTCTGTCAAAGAGTGTGTGTGTCTGTCAAAGAGTGTGTGTGTCTGTCACAGAGTGTGCATGTGTTTGTCAGTGAGAGTGTATATGTGTTTGTCAGTGAGAGTGTATGTGTGTCTGTCAGTGAGAGTGTATGTGTGTCTGTCATTTAGAGTGTGTGTCTGTCAGTATGTGTATGCGTGTCTGTCAGTGTATATATGCATGTTTTGGTGTATGTATGCGTGTCTGTCGGTGTGTATGCATGTGTCAGTGTGTGTATATATGTTAGTGAATCTGTATGTCTGTCAGTTTATCTGTCAGCTAGTGTATGTCTGTCAGTAAATGTGTGTATCTATCAGTGAGTATGTATGTGTGTTTGTCTGTGTGTATCTGTCAGTGAATATATGGGTGTCTCAATGTCTGTGTGTGTGTCTGACACTGAGTAAATGTGCGTCTGTCAGTGAGTTTGTGCCTGTCAGTGAGTGTGCATGTGTGTCTTGTTGGTGAGTGTGTATGTGTGTCTGTCAGTTAATGTGTGTCTATCGGGGGAAGCGTGCGTCTGTCAGTGAATGTGAATGTGTGTAACTGCGAATGAGTGAGTTTGTATGCCTATGAATGTGTATGTTTCAGTGAAAGTGTGCATTGGTTAAACAGTGTGTTTGACAATGACTGTGTATCTGTCAGTGAGTATATATTGGTCCATTTATCAGTGAGGGTGTGTGTCTGTCAGGAAGAGAAATTTGGAAGGGGTGGGTGCCCGAGTTTTGTCATGCCTAGGGCAGCACAAAACCAGAATACACCACTGACAGTACAGCATTGCAGTATTAGAATCCACTAAGCAAACCATGCTTAAAACAGCCTGCAGCTCAGCTCCTTTTGGTATCCTCATGTATACTGGTGTAAACGTTTCAGAAACTAAACCTTATTCCCTTACACACACTCAATGCTGGATCTCAAATTACGATGACTGTTAACTGGAGAAGTAGGAAACAGTTCCAGTTAGTGTGTAAATGCTCTCTCATACTGTATCCCTCTGCCTTTATCAGCAGATAGTATATTTATTCTTTAAGATGTATTTTTAGCAAGCAAACGTCAGTAGCTATAAAATAGAGCAAGTGGATTATTAGTGGTAATGGAAACAAGGGCATTGCATCATATTTGCCTGTAAATTGGGCAGGTGCCTATATATGGTCTAAATATAATTTAATTCTGAGACCAAACTGATTTAATACCAATCTTTTCCACTTTTGCATTTGTTACCACTTGAGTGTAGAGATTTATGGTAGGTCCCAAAAATAACGAAGACACCAGAAATAGGCTACATATGTGTAGTATGTGTGGCCAGGGCAAGGTTTCCCAGTAGGGATTGCACATATTCAGCTCCATGGTGACTCAAATAAATTGAAAGAATTCTGGACACAAGACACTGTGACTAAAGTTAAAGAAAGAGCACTTGGGTTCAAGTTGTTTGTGTATCTGTCTGTCAGCAACAGTATATTCTATGGGTCTTTATTTATCAGTCTGTTTATTACCACTAGATATGTGCAGCATCAACATTACATTCAGAACTGTATGCCATGAGTTGTATTATATGTTAAAATTGTTGTTATTGCATTCCTAAAATAGTACTGACCCAATATTGATATTTATCATGGGCATTACAACTATCATAAATATTATTTTTGTAGAAAAGACACAAAGCATGCATCTACTAGTGTGATTCTGAACATTACAGCAATGGCAAGACTTAGAAATAAATTTAGGGCCAAACTACAATTTCAGCTGAATTAGGACCATATAAGTGATCAACCAAAAATCCAGTTAGCATGATGTCACACACACCAGCATCTTTAGGGAACTGACTCGCGAATGCATCTAGGGGAGTGGGGCCTGACAGCTGACCAAGACAGTTGCATGGTGCTGGAGTTCCTCAGGGAAAAACTTTTCTTAAGCCAAAAACTAGACTTTCTTTAACTCTTTTCAGCTAAAATCTTGTTACCAACCCTGGATGCGTTTGACTGCATCTGTGACCTATTCTGGGTGAAGGTATCTGCAAGGGGCTACTCCTGTTACCCAAATCATGGCACCCCTGAGCCATCCTGCTGGTCGTTGATGCAAGTATCCCCCACATGGCTCCAGATCAGTGCAGCACAGATAAAGGCGCAAAGAACCAGTCATGATGGGCTGCCATGCATCATCATATGCAATTTTTCCACTATCAATCACTCTTTCTGTGGAGGAACAAGCTTCTTTGCCTGATCCGGTGGCCTTACTTTCAAGCTGCTCGGAGCACAAGACCACACGTTTGCGGGTGCAAGATTTGCCCAAGGCCCGGGTTGTCATCCTGGAGATCATCACCTCAGATCCTCCATGGGCGTGGGCTCCAGGGTGGAACTCCATCGACTGCATCCTTGTATGACAGGCATTTCCCTGATTTGGGCATTGGCTAGACATGTTATGGTTAACCTAGGCAGGATTCTCCTGTGTCTTGCCAATGCCATCTTGATCTCATTGAGCCAACACAGTCCTCTCATGGAAATGTTTACTGTGTGCTTTACACATGTGTTTTTGTTTTCCCTTTGCATCACCTGATCACATACTAAGCTTTAAATGACATCGTACTATATCAGTATAATGCTAGGTGAACCAGTGGATTCTTATTTCTTATTTCTGATGATTTTATTTCATGTCATGTAATTTCTTCTCTTTAACTACTCTCTTTGTTTAAGTCTAAAATTCAGTCTTGTTTGCTATATTTGTCTATTTTCTATTATTTTTACAAAACCGTGCTGTGTTAAAAAAATAATAATCCTTTTGTCTAGCCTGGGTCAATTACTCTTACTACAAATCTCTTGTTAACATTTGATAGGAAAGAAAATCCTTTTTTTTCAGCATGTTCAGTATAGTATCTGCTGCGCATGGGTGCTAGCACTGTGCAGTGTTCTAATGTCAAAGATAATCACTTTACAGCAGTAAAACCAGAAAATACTAACCCATTTTGCAACCCAAATACTCATTCTTGCTGAATAACGTAGTGTTACTTTACAGAATTATGCATATACCTGACTTAAATAATTATAATAAGAAAAAGAAGCACACCATCATCAAAGGCATATCCTACTCCCAAAACCAAAATTGGATACTTTAATTTTTGGGTAAATGCCCAATTTTCAACTTGATATTACTTCTGCTCCCTTTTTTTCATTAATACATGATATCAAAAGGAAAAAAAATTAAATCAGTCATTATAAAACTTTATACTTTTTATTTTTTTTAATCCACATTTATAATAATCCAGTTTAGGCAACACATAATTGGCATTGCAAAAACACTTGATATTGAGTAACCATGAGTCTAGGCAATATTGTAGCCATTTTTCACGTCAGCACAGTCACAGTCAGCATCATTTTCCCACTGTTTTGGCTGCCCGTATTACCTTCCCGTATTTTTTCGGTCCCGAAATTCAGCCGAGCTGCATTGTGGCATGAATTTGATTTTGTAATTTTTCCACCCTGCGCAAGTCTAGAAATTACTGAAGCCTATATTGTTCTTTGAGGAACTGAGTGAGTGCTCTCTCTGTTTCCTAAACCAAACCTAATATAGTCTTATTTCAGTCTGCATTTCAAATAACCTAGATAATCAATATAAAAAATAATTTTCTGTGCCAGGAAAGATGTGGTAAATCACAAGATATAACCATACTGTAACTAAAGTGTACCTGTCATAAAACTCATTCCCAGAAAAGTGCACAAAATGTAATCTATGGCACCATGTTACCATAAGGGCAAAATGGCAAACAAACATGTAAATCTAAAAAAACTAAATAAAATGAATGAAAAATAAAAACGTGTCTATTCTCCGCCATTCTGTCATCTCAGCATATTCTTCTATGTCAATGCCATAGACTTGCATGTTGAAAATTCAGCCTTGCATACTGATAGAGCCGTAGAACTCTCTGACAGACAGCTAGGGTAACAGAGTGGCAAAGCAAGGGAGAGACAGATGGAGCAGTTTGCTCTGTGAGCTGGTCTGATGGAACACACAGGGTCAGAGGGGCATCAGAGAGGTGCTGCACCTCAGCACATGCATGGGAAAATCATTGTACCGAAAAAAATATATAAATATTATGTAAATTTATTTTCTAGTACACTGATTTTTGCACCATTTGGTTCAGGGAGCAAGTCAAAAGCTGAGTTGTTTGCAAGAAAAATTGGACTGAAGTAAAATATTTATTTAAGAAGCATTTCAATTTGTATGGCTATGTTTCAACTAAAGTAGAGGTTAATCAATGCAAAAACAGTTACTATTCTGGTACAGAGTGCTAAATTAGGAGCAGTCAGTGTGGAAATCAGTTGGGTCTGTCAATATTTAGCACTTTCCCCCATAATAGCACCTGTTTTGTCTTGATAAATTTCCCCTAAAGGTTCGTGTGACAGCTAGAATATTTGTTTTACAGTTTGCTCTATGTATTGCTTAGGTAACCTGTCAAATAAATAATAGTTCTTTAAAAAGGCACTGACATGTTCCACATATGGCGGTTAGTGTACTAGCGGAAAAAAAGCATGTTTACGATCCTGCTCGATGTAATCAGAGCTAGGCAGGGACCAGAATAACTATTACTTTAGCTTCTCCTGAGCTAACACTAATATGATTCCCCTGCTTTAACCTCCAGTTTTCAACTATATCTTCAATCATCTGCTATGAAATAACTTTTCACTAAAATTTTAAAAAGATTGCTGAGCTCAACCTTTCATATATTTAGAATCCTTCTTAACCAACAGGCTATGTAAAACACAAAATAGCAATTCTGTTGTAAAGTCTACATGCATCACAACAAGATTATTTAATGTGTTGGGGCCAAAAAGAACCACCGCTTTTTGGATTGTTAAATTTGAAGAGCAGTGCAGATAAAATGGTTTAATAGTTATGTTTGTCTCCTTTTTTGATAAAATGAATGTTGTAATGATATCTCATTTGTAGTGAACTCTAAATGGACAACAACTGATTAATGCCTTCCCTCAAAGCAAACTATTTTTATTTTTTGCCTACATTTGTTTTGTAATGCAAATTAATACAAACTGATATTAAGTTCATAAACCCCCACTTACCTTTTCTCTTTGCTGAAATGTTTTTTTTTGCCCTATGTATTATCTTTATTACAGTGCCAACAGCAGTCCTCTTGTGGCATTCAGCACTGCCCCTTGGGAAATCATCAATTGTGTTGCTGTCGTTTCAATCCAATGCTTCACATAGAGAAGTATTGTGGATCTAAGGTACATGTGCAGCATTCACCACGATCCAGCATTCAAATGCTTCTCCAAGAGAAGCATTGATTGCATTGGAAACAGTGAAGGCTACAACATGCTTAAAGGACCACTCTAGGCACCCAGACCACTTCAGCTTAATGAAGTGGTCTGGGTGCCAGGTTCCTCTAGGATTAACCCTTTTTTTTTTATAAACATAGCAGTTTCAGAGAAACTGCTGTGTTTATGTTAGGGTTAATCCAGCCTCCAAAGCCTCTAGTGGCTGTCTCATTGACAGCCGCTAGAGGTGTTTGCGTGCTTCTCACTGTGAAAATCACAGTGAGAAGATGCCAGTGTCCATAGGAAAGCATTATGAATGCTTTCCTATGAGACCGGCTGAATGCGCCCGCATCTCCTGCCGCGCATGCGCATTCAGCCGGAGAGGAGGAGGAGATCTCCCCGCCCGGGGCTCCAGAGCCCGGCGGGATGGGGATCCTGAGGGTGGGGGCACCCTCAGGGCACTATAGTGGTCCTTTAAGCAGTGAACTGTGTGACAGCACAGCTCACCACTCTATTTCCAGTTAGTTCATAATAGGCAGTCTTATGGCACCTCCCGGCTACACTCTTTGTCGAGCAAGGTCTCTGACCTGGTGGGTGCAGATTGTTGGGCGTATTCCCATGAGGTCACCAACGGACATCCCCCATACCCAGTCAGTGGTCAGGTCTGGAAGTATTAGATACACAGGCCACTGCACACCATAGCTTTTTATGGTTCCTTAGGTAATGCACAGTTCTGTTGCTCGTGAACATGTGTGTGTTGTCACATCAAAGTGACGGACACCCGTTCTGACATCACATGACATCTGTAGGCCAATCAAAGCCTTTCTTTAGCTATTTAAACTTAAGATAGCCAGATTTCAGTGTCCTGTTGTGGTTTCCAGTTTGGTTATCCAGAAGCAGCTTATTTCTATTGATTCTTGTGTATTTTTCTTTATTTAAAATGAGACTTGCTGATGTTGTGCTGCTTTTCTTAATGAATATTCTAGTGCCATAATCATTAGAAACCCACTGTAGTGGTTATAGTTTTGTGCACAGTGAGAAAATTCAGTTTGGCTGTGCCATTTTTTCCAAAAATACTTTTTTTTTCCGGGACAGCCAAATTAAGCCATATGTTGGCAGAAATTCGGTAATGAAAAGCTGATTTAGGAAACAGATCAGATAAACCAAGGAAAGAAAACAGGCCAATCAGTGTACTGCAAAATATATACATAATATATATTACAATAATAATGATACTTATATGCATAATATATATTACAATAATAATATACTATCTAACTTGTTTTCTCTACCCCCCTTCACTCTGTGATCTTCATACAAGATATTTATGACCCTCTGCGAGAATGGTATCTATTTTTTTTTTTATCAACCATGTGTCTTATCTGCACTCATGTCGCTTTCACTCCTGTATCACAACTCAACTTTGAATTCTATGTGTTGTCTTTGTTCAGAAATGCTTTAGACTTGAGAATGAGAGGTTCTCCCAAAAGCTTGTTATTACAAAGGTCTGTTAGTCCAATAAAAAAGGTATTACAAGATACAAATTGGTATTTATATATTATTTAATATATAAATATAGATTTTTTTTTTACTGTTCCTTTTTTTCCTTCTCATTTGATCTATAAATAAAATCAGCAACTAGTTGCTGTCCGCTAACCATCATCTGTTTTCCAATCAGTCATCTTTTTTTGAAACCATGGGTGGAATTCAGAATTATGAACCAAAATGAGCATGCTTGGCCACTGCACATTTCTCAGCTCGGAGTTAGGGAATTCAACAATCACCCAATTCGGGCAATGTTCAGTTCGGACCAAAACAAGTCTAACTCTATTGTCAACATACCTGTATTTTTACAGCAATTCTTTGTACTGCAGTTTCACTCATGTGTCTATATGTATAAAATTAATGGAGACTCCTAAACAATGTATCCTGCTATGTAAGCCCCTACTTGTTGTGGGTTTTGGTTGTCATAAACACTCAAACTGAAAATAATGTGAACACCGGGATTTGCTGAATAGTTACATAAACTCCAATGGTATCTCATAAATGTGATTAGTATTTGATGCATCACCAATATATATCTGTCGGCGCCACCGAGGAGGTATTCCCTGCTTGGGGAAGTGTTCAAGGAAGACTGCAGGATGAATGGAGGACTGACTGGAGGTAGGTGTTACATGAAGAGTAATACCCATGAAGATTAAGAAATAGCAGCACTGAAACAAGTTAAGGTGAGTAAATATCAGTATTTTACATAGAATGCATTATGTATCTCTACGATATATGATGTATTCAATGTATTTTGGGACAATTCAAGCAAAGTGTACATGTACATTATATATTCACTTTAAAAACACTGATGTTTTTACTGTGTATGGAGTAATCCTAAATCCTTAATCACTGACTGACTACCCTAATTCACATAATGGCCTTAATATGCAATTTAAATCACAACCAATTTAATTGGCTTTCTGCCTTTTAAAATCCCATTTTATAATAGATTCTTGGATAACATATGTAAAAGATCACCTGGCACCCCAACTGGGTACCTCCATTGAAGGATGTTCCTAGCGCTTCTTGAGGACCCCAAGCACTCTAGCCGACAACCACCACAGGCCGAACGTCTCTTCCTTCAAAGTGAAGCAGGAACAAACTCTTACAAGAGCTTAGGAATAATTAAAGCAAGGGAATATGCAGAGCATAGCAATCCCTTGTAGCAGAGTCCCCCTCCCCAAAATAAGAGACAGGACTCCAAATTGAGGATGAAGTAGAACTGTCTAAAACTTTATGTTACTTGGGACTAGCCCATATGGTCATTACATTAACATTGCTGTGAAAACGCAATAAAATTACAAACATTCAAATCATAGCAGGCAACATACAGTGACTTATAACACAATGGCATATTTTTAAAGAGGTGGGGAGACAATAATTAACAGAAAATATCTCACATGCCTGCAAAATTAGCAATATGCAAATCTACCCGCATATGCAAATAAACCAGTCTTGCAATTCAGGTCGTGCATATTGCTGTTGCTACCAACAGAGGGCACTAGACAAGCTCCATAGCCAAATCCACCTAGTTGGTAGCAAACCTCAGCAGTACAGGAGAGCAGACAATACATCCCAGGGGCCACAGTCACATGGCAGGAGGCTGGCAATCAGTCTTCTCCAATGCCCAGTGGCGAGGCTGGTTCCGCCACATTTCTCCCCTTTCCCAAAAAGACTAACAAGGTATCTGGCCTCCTGTCGGTCAGTGCCTTGGTTAGTCCAGCAAGCCACCCACAAAACATAGTCAGTAGTGCAGCCCACCCACAATGAAAAGTTACTGCACCTGGGGAAACGTGCAGCCAGTCTTTGTCCAGGGGCTCCATCATGGCTTTGTGGGGTACGGGTACTCCAGATCTGTGGGTTGCTGAGTGGGCAGAGACCAGCGGTACTCTGCCCTGATGCCAGCGCTTCAGCTGAAGTAGTCTGGTTGGAGCCCAGCTGTCAAGAGAGGGTAGTAGGCTTCTCTCCCTGGACCCGGTGCTGCTGTGGAGGGGGAGACCGAATGTCTCCTCTTTTGATAAACAGTCCTGCTGCTGGGGATCTGGACCGGCTACCCCGCACCTCTGTAGACCTGGTTCAGAGACCGCGTTCCCATCTGGGAGAATAAGGTCTCCTCTTTGGGAAATAAGCTGCCGCTGGGGAGAGGTGATAACCAGTTCCTCTCCCTGATACGCTCTCCGATGTTCCTGTAATACACTCTGCCACTGGGGAGAGAGACCGACTGTCTCTTCTCCGCATAACTCGTGCTGCTGTTTCGAAGTGAAATCGACAGTCTCCCCTTCCAATAACATACTCAGCCACTGGGGAGAGAGACTGACTGTCTCTTCTCCCAGTAACACAGGCTGCTGCTGGGGAGAGAGACCGACTGTCTCTTCTCCCAATAACTCACTTGGCCACTGGGGAGGAAGGACGACACCTTCAGCTCCCTGGGATACATACTGCCGCTAAGGAGTAAGGACGACACACTTTTCTCCCTGTGATGCATACTGCCACTGGGGATCTGGGCCAACTGCCCAGCATCCCTGTAGGGCCGGTAGAGAGACCTCGGTCCCATCTCCACCTGCCAGCTGGGTGTTTTCCCAGGACAAGTCAATAAGGTCTTCCATCTCTGGGGTTGGTTGGGACGTATGTGGTACAGTACCCAGGTCCCCTGATGGCAGGCTTGGTTGCTGGGGAAGAGGAACTAAACTCAATGCTTCCGGTGGTATACAGTCAATAAGCCCCATCATGTCAGAGACAGGCGGCGTTACACGTTGGAATAGGCAAACATAATCCTGTTCTAGTTCCCACTCCCGGTTGGCAAGAAAAGATAGATCTGGCTGAATGGCATCGATCTCCGTAAGGTCCCAGTTGTCTGCCCGCTCAGCTCGGATGGACCAGAAGCGAGCAATGTCGGTGTCTCTGAACCAGAGACTAGTTATAATAGTATCCCACAACATTCCAGGGCCATCGTAGTCTTCCCCCTCAATACACTTGTACTCGATCAGCCATGGGTAGAGGTGGTAAGCATGCCATCGCAGGGCCCGATAGGAATCATCCAGCCACACCTCAGTCTCAACTAGCGTCTCAAGTTCGCTTACCCATTCCTCTGAGGGCTGGTTTCCCAATTACGGCATCTGCAGCTCTAGTTGTTCTGCTTGGCGCTGGTTAGTGGTGAGGATTTCCTCGCTCCGGAAGGGTCGAAATTTCGTCAATGTCCTCCTTCCAGAGATCGGTACGAAGCACCACCCTCCACTCTGTCTCTCTTTCCTCTGGGATAGGATACTCCATATTGTGCATCACATCCTGTAGTCGCTGCTGGAGCCTTCCATCTCTGAAATAGTGCTGGTTTTCCCAAGACTAGGAAGCCATCCCACATCTGCCACCAATGTAACGGATCACCTGCACCCCAACTGGGTACCTCTATTGAAGGATGTTCCTAGCACTTCTTAAGGACCCCAAGCACACTAGCTGACACCACAGCCACTGCAGGCCAAACCTTTCTTCCTTCAAAGCAAAGCAGGAACAAACTCTTACTAGAGATTAAGAGTGATTAAAGCAAGGGAATATGCAGAGCATAGCAAGCCCTTGTAGCCGATTCCCCCAATAAGAGACAGGACTCCAAATTGAGGGTGAAGAAGAACTGTCTAAAACTTTATTTTACTTGGGACTAGCCCATGTGGTCATTACATTAACATTGCTGTGAAAACGCAATAAAATTACAAACAGTCAAATCATAGCAGGCAACATACAGTGACTTATTAGAACACAATGGCATATTTTTAAAGAGGTGGGGAGACAATAATTAACAGAAAATATCTCACATGCCTGCAGAATTAGCAATATGCAAATCTACCCGAATATGCAAATGAACCAGTCTTGCTATTCAGGTTGTGCATATTGCTGTTGCTACCAACAGAGGGCACTAGACAAGATCCATAGCCAAATCCACCTAGTTGGTAGCAAACATCAGCTGTACAGGAGAGCAGACAATACATCCCAGGGGCCATAGTCACATGGCAGGAGGCTGGCAATCAGTCTTCTCCAATGCCCAGTGGCGAGGCTGGTTCCGCCACAGCATATTTAGCTATTTCATATCAATTAAAAAAAAATGTCATCCTAATGGTAAATAAAAAAAAAATGCAATCAATGCATTACTTAATTTTGGAGTACTACATGTGTTAAGTACAAAAATTGGTGATGGAATGCCAAAAATCAAGACTGCATTTCACAAATGGTAACCAGTTATTTTAAGCTTTGTAACTACAGCAGAGTAAACTATCCATGTGATCCTGCCCTGTCAGCAACAAAATTACCCTACTTCTCACAGGTCAGGGAGATCACACTGCACTGAAGATCCTGTAGCAAACACAGCTAAACACCATACTGAATCATATAATAAAACAATGAATTTGTATTTGTCACATTTTATATTAAAAGCAAAACATAGGTCAACCTGAAATTGATTAGGATGCACAAAATTTAAACAGAAGTGTTCAAATGCGCCTCCACATCTTGTAGGACTATATATATCTCGTAATCTACATGTTGAGCAGTCCCTTTGGCACTCTACGTTGAATAAATATCTCACAATAGATATGTATCCAGTCCCTCTATCCTAACAGTACTTTAAAGGACCACTATAGTGCCAGGAAAACATACTCGTTTTCCTGGCACTATAGTGCCCTGAGGGTGCCCCCACCCTCAGGGTCCCCCTCCCGCCTGGCTCTGGAAGGGGGAAAGGGGGAAAAACTTACCTATTTCCAGCGCTGTGCGTGGAGCTCTCCTCCTCCAATCCTCCTTCTCTCCTCCCCGTCGGCTGAATGCGCACGCACGGCAAGAGCTGCGCACGCATTCAACCGGTCGCATAGGAAAGCATTATCAATGCTTTCCTGTGGATGCTTGCGTGCTCTCACTGTGATTTTCACAGTGAGAATCACGCAAGCGCCTCTAGCGGCTGTCAATGAGACAGCCGCTAGAGGCTTTGGGGGAAGGCTTAACCCATTCATAAACATAGCAGTTTCTCTGAAACTGCTATGTTTATAAAAGAATGGGTTAACCCTAGAAGGACCTGGCACCCAGACCACTTCATTAAGCTGAAGTGGTCTGGGTGCCTAGAGTGGTCCTTTAAGAACTTTGAAGAGTTTAAATTTGTCCAGATACAACATATACTATAAGTTTTTATTGAGTATGATTTTTAAAGGTTTAGTTCATTTAATAAGAAGCTGTGTCTAAACAACAAGAACATTTACGTGAAACTTAAATAAAGATTTGGCTAATTAAGAACATGTTTGTAACTATTCTACTTAGTCCTACATTTTGTAAAACTTTGGCAACTGACCAAATAACTTGTTATTTTTTATGAATTGAACTCATTCTTATCTGATTATAATTGACACAACTGTTCAATTGTTTATTCTTTGGTTATCATACAAACTGACTCAGAATACACTTCGAGAGAAGCATACTTGGCCAGATTTCCATAGTGGTTATGAGCAGTATTTTGGATTAGAAAACTGCATGTGTGGATTACATAGCTTATTAGATCAATTCAGTACACTCACTGGAATAAAAATAACTTTTAATAGCACAATATATTATAACACCAAATTAGTAATTTTTTTTATACAATAGTTACCCCCAACCCTCGGACCCCCCACTCCCATTTCATGCCCTGAAATAAAATGCATCAACAAAGTTCTGGGTGCTACAAAGCTTATTTACAAAGATAGAAAGAGACAAAACATCCGGTCCGATAGAATGAAAATTGACTGTCCTTCTATTAAAGCATCTTCCACTGTAGGGTGCCATCATCTTTACAGTCCAAATAATGACTGTTAACCTGCATCGTGTGCATAAAAATACAATTACGTAAACAAACAATTGTCCTTTTTGTTTTTGCAAAGGACTTCTCCATAGAAAACTAGGTCACAGTGGATCGTTCATTAGCCCTATGGCCATTAAAATATGTAAAAACGATCTCCATGTGCTTCTTTATGAACTGCCTCCTTTCTTCATACAGTATTCCCATGGTTTCTTGGGCAAAGGAGGCATTACCAGGACCAAGCAACAACCTCCTCCAAATATCAATATGGCTCCGGCAGCTGCAGCACAAGCTACTGACCATGAGTACTCATATTCGAGACGTACATACTGGTTACTTGCCATGAGCCATCTCACAGCATGACGAAATATCTCCATGGTAATAAGGACAAATGTACCTGAAATAAACAATGACATATTAAGAAGTGCAAATTATAGATGTATAAGGGAATGTATAGCGTGGGTGTTGACAGTTCATTTTAAGTAACAGAAAGGCGGAAAAGTCTTAAAGGACAACTGCCGTCTCAAAACTATTTTTCATATAACCCTTTCATCAAGTTTTACAAATAAATCGTTTTTTTTACATGAAGTACATGTAAGAAAAGTTGGAAACTCTCATCCCCATCTTGAGTATGTGACAGGATTTTTCAGCCATATACATGCACCTTGGGTCAGACAGACAGTGTATGAAAACCAACCATTAGTCTCGGTGGTCTCACTGCTTCACTCCCTGCAAAGATCTTTCATTAGAAATGTTTAGTTCTTAACTAGCATCTATGTAAATTATAATTTGTTTGGAGCTTGATTAGTATGTGAAAAAGATCAGACTTGAAATAACAGTATGGCCCCTGCCAAGTAAGAGAGTTTAAACATCTTTTACTTGGCAAGAACCAATCAAGGTATTTGTATATTTCAATTGAGGTAGTAAGCAGTAGTCAATCAGAATAGTGAGAAAATATCTTATTTCCAAAACAAAAAGTTGCTCCTTCACAATATATTAAAGGATCACTTTAATATATGTATTCCTGATCCTATAGTGTTAAAACCACCATCTAGCCCCCCTGGTCCTCTCCTGCCTCTATAAATATAGCAAAATCTTAAAAGCCTAAAGCTGTAACTCTCACATGCCTCACAAAAACAAGCAGTCTGCTGACATCATC